CAATACACCAAAACACTTTTACTTTTACACTGGACGCGCGTTTCGCTAACCATGTTAGGATCATCAGCAGATGATTATAAACTGATAAGGGAAATAAGGTTGTTATATTAGATAAAAAAGACTATTACGATAAGGTTAACAACTTAATCGATAATGGCCCCTACATAAATTTGAAAAAGAATCTCTCTGTCTAAGATGGTAGCAGACGTTAAAAAAACTCTAAAAGAATGTAACACCCTTATTGATCTTTCTTTAAAGAGGAAATTGCAAGTATCCAATCCATCATTACCAAAATTGTATGCTTTGCCAAAAATTCATAAACCGGACAAGTCTATGCGCCCAATTGTTTTGGCTGTAGGTTCTCCGACTTATAATTTGGCAAAATGGTTATCAAGGGAGTTCGAAAATTTACCTAATCATGAACCTTCTTTCTCAGTTAAAAATAATATTGAATTCATTAACAAAATTAAAGATGTAACATTGCATGAAGGTGAAATTTTGGTCTCCTTTGATGTATCTTCGTTGTTCACAAGTGTTCAAATTCCACATACTTTAGGCTACTTGAAGGAATTACTGAACGCAAATGGTCTCGACAACAAAACTGTGATTGAATATATTGAGCTTACATCGTTATGTATGAAACAAAATTGTTTTCAATTTAATAACAACTTTTTTGAACAGCGGGAATCCATTGTCTCCATTTTTGGCTAATTTATTCATGAGCAGGTTTGAAGTGGAGGCTAAGAATCAGTTTGAGTATTTTCCAAGAGTATGGTTTAGGTATGTGGATGATATTTTTGCTGTTTTTGACACACATTCAGACATCATAGATAATTTTATTTCTAAGTTAAATAATCGTTTTCCTTCCATTAAATTTACGCATGAAATTGAGAACAACGACAGATTACCATTTCTAGATGTATTAGTTATTAGAAATACTAATAATTGTCTGGAATTTGATATCTATAGGAAAAATACCACCACAAGCAGATATATTCCTAATGAATCACATCATAGTGTTGAACATAAAATGGCTAGTTTAAATTTCTTAGTTCATAGATTACTTAGTTTCCCACTTTCCAACGAAAGATATGAAATAGAAAGAGATTACATTAGGAATGTAGCTGAGTGTACTGGATATTCTCCTTCACTAGTTGATAAATTAATTAGAAAACGTAGGTATAGGTTAATGATTTCTGAAAATTCGACTTTTCAAGTGGAGAAAGATACGTCTAAATATTTTTCAATACCGTTTGATAGGGAGTTATCCCGTGGTCTAAAAGGAATTTTTAAGAATGTCAATTATATAGTGCTAATAATAAATTACAACAATTATTAGGTAATCCAAAGGATAAAACACCTCCACTGGAAAGGTCGGGTATTTATGAAATTTCTTGTAAAGATTGTAATCAGAAATATGTTGGGCAAACTAGAAGATCAATATTAACTAGATTTAAAGAACATTTATTTCAGATAAGATATGGTAGACCGGATAAATCTTGCGTTGCCGAACATATTGTTGATAAAGAACATTGTATAGATCTTAATAATTTAAAATTAATTAAACAAGTCTCAAATTACAGGCAATTAGATGCATATGAAAGCATCAGAATTAATAAATGTAAAGATAGTATGAACAGAGTCAACGGTCCAATTCCTTCAAGTTCTTTGTTCCTACTACTCTAGTAGCGGAAATTAACTGTTACGCTCAGTTGGCTCTGACTCGGTTGGCTAGATTTTGCCACGCCCACTCGGTACCTACTGGGCGAGTATATAAACGCTCAACTTGTAGATTGTACTTTAGTTTATAATCATCTGCTGATCATGCTAACATGGTTAGCGAAATGCGCGTCCAGTGTAAAAGTAAAAGTGTTTTGGTGTATTGTGGTGATTTAGTGTAATTTTATTTTGCAAATCTATTGTTTTACATCACTTGACGTTTAAAGTCATAGGCTACTGGTTAGAATCAAGAAAAATATACGCTTTAAAACTAAATCTTAAATAACTTAAAAACGATTTATTTTAGGTATAGGAACATGTATAGTCAAAAAGTAACGAATTGAAAAGCATTTTCATTAGTGAAATAAAAAAGTGGGTTTCCATTTGAAAAAAATGATTTATGATATTTTTTTAATCTCTCATTTCTATGACAGCTCCGGCCATTATTAGATGACATTCGAACATTTTAATTTTTGAAATAGATAGCCACATGTTTTCTCTTTATGGCACAGTGGCTGTAGTAATAATTAAATTTGACATTTAGGCTATACACATATTTTTGACAGGTAGTTTTTTGCGTTCAAAAATTTTAAATAGGTATTTTTTTTTGCTCAAAAACGATTAATGTTGGGTATAGAGTGTTTAACATCAATATTCGTAGCATTTTACAGAGAATTTAAGTATGTAATAAAAATGGGGGTACCCATTTAAAATAAAAAGTTGCTGTCAACTTCTGGTATTTCCGGAAGTGCCGCCATATTGAAAATATTTTTAAACAATAGATGTCGTTGTGAAACTATAATGTCCAAAAAATCTCCGAGCTAGATGTTGTAGTTTTCTAAAAACTTCTATCCACGCTCAGCCTGGAACACCCTGTATACGGTTTCTTACATTTTTTGTAAACATACTTTATGGTTTAATATAAAAAAATAATTTAATGAAAATGAAAGGGTCGTTGCCAACATCTTTTCTTTTTGTTCACTCCGCGCTAATTTCCCAGGTCTCATAGGAACTCGGGTAGTGCAGAGTACAATCGTAGCATTACTAATACATATTTCAAGCTGAAGGACAAGTTTAAAATAATCTAAAAACATCCCAGATCAGGCCACTGGCATCAATTGGACCTCGTAATCGTTCGAAGGACGCATCAAAAAGATGTCAGACTCACAAAAACTACAATAGATGACAAATGACCACATTCAATTTTTGAAATTACAAATTGGTGGTCAGTATCAACTACGAGGGTAATTCGAGCTTTTGGGCCTTAAACATCGAAAAAACTAAAGTCATGTGCACTCCCCCGGAAAATTATAACAATGTTATAATCGCCTTGTTCGATCTTTGGTGTTCTCCATATTCCTATACGGGTCTGAGTCATGGACCGTCAAGAGCGCTGATAGACACCGTATAGATGCATTTGAGATGCGGTGCTGGAGGAGAATGGTCCGTATCCCATGGACAGCTCAAAGAACGAACCAATCAATTCTCGATGAACTCGGCATCACAGATCGATTATCCACCATCTGCCGTAGACGCATCCTGCAATACTTCGGTCATATCACTCGCAGAGGTGAAGAAAACCTTGAAAAACTCATTGTACAAGGCAAAGTAGAAGGCCGAAGACCCAGAGGACGATCACCATTAAGATGGCTTGACCAAATAGCAAATATCACAGGTCATCCATTTCAATCAAATCTCCGAGGGGCGGAAGATCGCCAACGATGAAAGACCAAAATCACCAACTGCACATAGCCATAATGTCACGATTCTTCAGACATGAAGAGACGACGAAGAAGAAATTATAATCGGAGAAGAACTATTGGAATATGTAGTAGAATTCAACTACATCGGCAGTTTGATTTCGGAAAAAAACAATATCGACTCCGAAATTCAGCACAGAATTAGTAGCGCGTCAAGAGCATTCTGGAAATTAAAAGACAGTGTTTTCTACAATCGTGACTTGATACGCAAAAACGAAACTTGCAGTGTATCGAGCAATAATAATCCCCATCATGATATATAGAAGCAAAACCTGGGTGCCGATGCCGTACCGCCGGCACATGACCGCGTTAAACAAGTTGCAACAGAGACACCTTAAGGTGCGTATTCACTTGCAACAAAACACTCCGAACAAACCAAACGCGCCGCGCACTCCAAACAATCTGCAACAAAACATTTTCCGGGAGCGCTCTGAACGACCTGCAACAAAACATTTTGCGCGGAGCGTTCCGCCTGTTTGCGGTGTTCGCTGCGTTCCCACCAGTAATCAGTGTTAGTGTGTTTGTCGACAAGGATGCATCTGATATTACCATAGCCGCTGGTGCTTTTTTAATTTACAGGCATTAGCGGGTAACAAAAAAGTGAAAAAAAGGAAAGGACGAAAAATGTAGACAAGACGCCTCTTTTTGCGCCGTCAATATAATATGGCCTTACTTAGTGACCTAGATTATATGCATAAGAAGAATTTAATTAATTTAATAATTAATTATTAATTTAATAAAATAGGCCGCCTTTCAAACTCATCAATTAACTCTAAACACTTTTCTCTGTTCCATCACTCCATAGCTAGGTACAGTTTAAAAACATCCCAAACACAACGAACGTTCAAAACTGCCGTATCCACTGAACACCGGCCAACGAACAAATTCTTTTGAGCAAATCCCGTCCTTATAAAAAAACGCCTTGCGTAAACATCCTCTGATGTAAGGCAGTAAAGTAGTAAAATTTCCGAGGAACAAAAAACGAAAAAGGGTCAAGCCCTTAAAATACTCTTCTACAAAGGAGATTTTGAAAGAGGACTATCCCATAAACAAGTTACTGAAAAAATTCTTATTATTTTATACATGAAAAACAATTTTCTTTCAACAAGAAACATGTATATGCGATTAACTACTTTCCTCGTTGGACATGCCAACGATTTACAAATCGTTGGCATACTACGTTGGTCACTGGTCCCGCAAGGTATTGTCTTTCTTGTTTATTTGATATAGTTTCGATTATAAACTTACATTGGATTACCTCGCCACTTCTAATTTCTGCTAGAGTTCTAAAAATAACATCTATTTCCACATAACTCTATGCAAATTCTGTAACTGTTTTATTCATGTATTTGCTTGTTTCCGCTCTTCCAATTTAACTTTCTTTAATTAAACACAAATTCGCGTTGAACATGACGGTTAATAACTTGATATAATTTTCTGGGGTATACATTTTATCAAGGATAAAAAACATATTCGTTTTATTTTAAGTATTATTTGATTTAAAATAAAAACCGATTTAAGGCCGGGACACACCTATCATGCACGTTTCCGATCCGGCTCCGGTCCGATTTTGCCCCAGAAAAGGATAGCTGTGGGATCGGAAATGGTGAGTACACACATGTCATACATGGCTTCCGACTCCTTCACGATTTCGGGCTTCGGCTGGATACAATCGCCAGTCTTAATTCAACAATCATCGCATGAAGTCGTGTGCGCAAAATGATTAATAATTTTAGCAACAGTGATTTAGCCATCGTGGCACTTTTGTTTGAAAGAAGAAAATGAGAAAAATGAGAAAGCTTTTATAGAGAACAGCCAAAAACGCAGATTTCATGTTTTTGTAGTCGGAGTTTCGGTACTGCTCTTTGTCTGGTCATACAGCAATTAGTTCCTCCGGTTTTATTGTTGACATTTTTTATTATTTTAGTAAAAAACTAAAAATAACACAGCCAACACAAAAATAAACAAAATAGTTCAAAACGACACTCGTCCCACAGCCGGCATCGACGAATAGACTGACAATCGGAACACGAACGGATGCAGGAACGGAGTCGAGTAGGAGCGGGGATGAATCACGTATCGGAAAGGTGTAAACTACGCTGGTCAATTTAAAAGTTTCGCTTATGTCTTGACAAGGTATCAAAGCAAACCCCATATTTTTTGCTTTTAAACTAATAAAGATATAACAATAAACAATTAGCGATGTAATGGTTTTTGCGCGCGCTGGCCGACTGCCGCCGCTGCGTCGAGATTTCCTATACCCTTGTATATATGACGTCATGGTGTGGCAAATGTAGCATTTTAATTCGATTTGGGCTCCCTTATATAGGATAACAGAAACATTTTCAATGTTAATAATCAAAATGTCAACAATAAAACCGGAGGAACTAATTAAAGAAGTGAGGAAATATCCAGTGCTGTATGACCAGACCAAAGAGCAGTACCGAAACTCCGACTACAAAGACATGAAATCTGCGTTTTTGGCTGTTCTCTATAAAAGCTTTCTTATTTTCCTCATCTTCTTCTTCCAAACAAAGTGCTACCATGGCTAATCACTGTTGGTAAAATTATTAAACATTTTGCGCACACGATTTCATGCGATGATTGTTGAATCAAGACTGGCGATTGTATCCAGCCGAAGCCCGAAATCGTGAAGGAGTCGGAAGCATGATCCCACAGCGATCCGCTTCTGGGGCAAAATCGGACCGGAGCCGGATCGGAAACGTGCATGATAGGTGTGTCCCGGCCTTTAAACGTTGAATATGTTGTATATAACGATCGAAAATATACTATACATATTTTTTGAATCAAAATAAGATAACTGAATACGATTTTCACTACACAAAAATTTGACAATTACACGGTATGATATATTCTACTAATCAAAATACTTAATCCTTAAGTGCACTGTTTGTAGATTTACTTAGTATAATCGAAATGGTAGATTATTCTTTTATAATTATGATGCCGTGAAATTGCCAAGTCATTATAATTATTACAGAAATAAAGATATAATATATATATATTTTTATTACCAGCAATTTATAATAAAATTGTAGAATAGGTGCTTCTATAGAACCTAATAAAGTAAACTGACTAGGGTTTACATGAGATTTCACAACTTATTGTAGTGGAAGAATTGCATTGTCAGACATTTTTCACATTCTGTTTTTTTTTGGATGGAATTGAATTTTCCATAACTTTTTGGATGTCCTCTGTCGAAATTTTCCCGACTCGTTGGGCAGACTATATTATTCATATACAGGGTGCTACAAATTCGAGGTACGAGTGTTGGTATCTCGGTAACCGCAATAAATACGAACATAGTTAAATTGGGGCAAAGTTACGCTTTGGGATGCTCATCAAGATATCATCAAAACGTTTTAAAAATTTCAGAGTTTTTTGGAAAAACAAATTTTTTTGAAAATCAATTTTATTTTTTCCTGTCGTTAATTTTTAGAAAATCAAAAAACTAATCGCACATTCTCATAGCCACTTTATTAGAATTATCACATAGTATTTTTAGATTTTCAAATAAGCTGATAATTTGTGAGATACATAGGCCAACTTATTTTTTTTAAATACGGACCTGCATTTTTTATTTTATGTTTTGAGAGAACTCGGTCTCCTGGGTTCAATGCTGTGCCACACTTTATACTTTTTTTTTGTTTTGGGTACCCTTTGGGTACAACAACAAAACTATTTAATTATTAATTAAAATAATTTCTAGTCCGACTCTGATTTTTTAAACTATTTAATCTGATTATATTCATCGCAACAGTATTGATCCGCGCTAATTAACATTGAATAAGGAAAATCGAACACATTAGTAGATTCAAAGAAATAATATCCAGGTCAGCAATTTAAAGATATTATTTTTTACTTTTTTTATTCTGAGTTTGAAATCTCAGTGTGCGGTTTAATGATATGCATAATATTAATCGTAGTTATTGTAAATGAATCAACTTCTGCAAACTAGTTTCTAATACTCTACATTTAAGTTTGAAAGCTTATCGATATTGTAACGATGAATAGATAAATATTTAAAAAAAACAGAGGCAGACTTGAAATTAGAATTGTGTTCAAATGTCCAAAACAAAAAAAAAATTACTGTATCTCACAAATTAGCAGCTAATTTGAAAATCTAAAACCACTATCAGATAGCCCTAATAAGTGGCTATGAGAATGTGCAATTAGTTTTTAGGTAAAATATAAAATTGATTTTCAAAAAAATCCGTTTTTTCCAAATAACCCAGCAATCCTTAAAATTTTTAAAACTCTTTTGATGGCATCTTGGTGAACATTCCAAAGCGCAACTTTGCCCAAATTTAACCATGTTCGTATCTATTACGGTTATCGAGATACCAATGCTCGTAGCCCGAATTTGTAGCACCCTGTATACAATAAAATATTTTTAGGATATGCCCCTTTATTCTGATGCTCAACTAGTTTTACAGGACTATTTTCTATAAATTTCAAACGCTAAAAGTTGAATCACAGTTTAATAATAAAGAAATATTCTGAATTCACCATTATAAATTTTTAAATTAGTTAATCACAATTTATCACAAATATTTTATTACGAATCATCAAATGATTCTTCTGATCCAATTAAACTTTCTTGAATTAATTACAAAGTTACGTGGAACGATGGCAGTTCGATAACAAAATGAACGACGAGAGACATTAATAATTTTGGGCGTATTTAAAACTTACTTGAAATCTGTAGAGAGAGCTGTCATCCTTCACCACCAGATTTTTCGAATCGCTTATAGGAAAAAAATAGCCGTACTGACACAGCTGGTTGGCTATGTTCAGCGCCTCTGAAATAAAAATCGCTACGTTTGATAAATCGCTTTTTTATGCGGACCGTAAATACCTTTACCTGATTCTTCGATTTCCAGTCGCATTATCAACCATTCTATCAAATCGTAACCTGAAACAAAAAAAGATATTATTATAGAATTACATAGCTTTATTTACTTAACAAAAAAGATTTTAAGCCTAATTTTTTCCATTAAATTTGTTGATTATATTATTGTAGTGTTATTTTTGGATAACCGGATGATGGCGATTATTTTCATAATCGAATTATTAATGATTTTTAATTTGAATTATCCCATCATTACTAATGTTTAATTTTGCCGTCATAATACCAAACATCAAATTCCAACATCAACTGTATACTTTATGCATTATACAGACCGGACCACTGTAGTAGTAACATAGGCAGAACCGGACGAATTAACGTATACCCGTCCGCCGGATAAAAAGCAGGCGAAAAAATGCGATAAAATAAAAATAGGTAGATATGTGATAAGAATGTTTCAGAATTTGTATTTATTCGTGTTTTAATAGCCAAAACGAATACATAGACTTTCGCGACAGTTCTCGTGTGAAATTTATTTTTTAAGTAAAATAATGGATGTTTACGAAGTTCGTGAGAAAATTTAAATTGTAAAATGGTATTTCCAAAATAGGTCTTATCGGAATATACAAACTATTTCTCCATAAACTTTTGTAAACAGGCCAATTCCATCTTTACCAAATCAAGAGTTATTAATAATTTTGAAACACATGGGTGCGTGTCCCCACAAAAACACAAAAAGGCTGATGTGTTGATTAAGGAAGAACACGAGTTAAAGCAAGTGTTCATTTGTGCATCCGCGGATCAAAATCCCACGGTTTCAAGTAATCAAATTGCTGAGGTGGTTGCCCGGCCCACAATGCCCGTATTGTTCAAGAATATTTGAACAATACTTTTCCCAACCATTTAATTAGTGGATATGGAACTATCTTGTGGCCCGCTAGATCACCAGATCATTCTCCCAATGATTTCTTTTTGTGGGGTTATGTAAAATCCAAAGTGTATGGTCATAATAGGGCTAATAATATGGATGAGCTTCAAGTAAAAATACGAGAAGGTTTCCAAACTATTAACCCTAATATGTTAGCCAATGTCAGACGGGATTTTACGACCGCCTAGGCTTCTGTCTAGCTCAAGAAGGTGGTCTTTTTGAACACTTGATATAACTTTTTTTTATTTAGGATAATATTTTAGTTTTTTTTGGGGTTTAGAGAATTTATTTATTTTTAGTTTTGGCTTGTAAACACACTCAAATATTAAATATTTAAGTATTTTTATTTTAAATGTTACCTTAAGTGAAGGTAAACACTTAAAATGAAAATAAATGATTTTTAAATAGCACCCTCAATATTTCTATACTTTATTCGATAGAACATGATGCTCTGAATAGAATGACATATCACATGTCAACTTTTGACATTTTCGCATATGGTTTATTTTAAATTGCAACATGCGGTTCATAACGACAATGACTCGAAATACCAAGTGTGTGGTACCAAATTATTCGTAAAAAAATGCTTTTTCCAAATATGCTAATGGGCCCTCCTCGTTCCATTTGAAAAAATTGAGATATGATTCAAAATACGATTTGGTTTACCCGGCCAGGACAAAACACTAAAAACATTAGACGATCAAATATATTTTTCTAAGGCTCCTTGATTAAAAATTAGTGATTTTAAAACAGCTATGGCACTCTAGATTGAAATTTAAAATACGATTTTTTAAGCGAATATGTCAAAAATTGACATATGATATGTCATTCTATTCAGAGTGTGATTTTCTATCGAATAGAGTAAAAATATACTGAGGGTGCCATTTAACAATCAAAAGTAGTAGTCATTTCCGGTTAAACAGGAAGTGACCAAAAACAATTGTCAATCAATCCTAATTTATGTTATACCGTGCTGGCAACTGTTACTCTTGGGTCGGTATTTACATGATGTGTGGAAGTAAATCGCATAGGGATCTTATTAAGTCGGAGTGAGAGAAATGCGACGGAGTGCTGTTGCGGCGTTGCCGGTACGCCTTTCCCTATCAAGTAAAGTAAAATCACGATCGCAAACCGCTTATTTTTAAAAGACTTTTTTTCGAAAAGATAACTAGATAAAATCATTAGAAATGTTTCTGAGCATCTGAAATGGAATTATAAGGATATCTTTAAGGTGTCATTTTTTTTATAACGAGAAAACGTCAGTAATCGCGATAATTTAAAAACTCAACTTTTTAACACATAACACGCCATAACTCAAGAAACACTTTAGATATTGAAACTTTTTTTATTTTGAAGATAGGATCTTTTACAATATGTTTACATAAGAAAAATTCGATAAGGTTGTTTTTTTCCATTCAAAAATTGTAAATAACCCATCTATTTACTTTTAGAGCATAGCAATTTCCAGCAGTCGTGTAATTTTTAACTGATAAAAATTTTCACTTACTGTCTACGAAGAAAATACAGCAGAAATATTAAGAAAGTTTCTGAAAAAATTACAATCAATTATTTCTAATAGATTTCGAGATATCGATTTTTGAATTCAGAGTTCTAATAGCCCGACCACTGTCGAAAACCAACTCAATTCCACTTATTTTTACCAAAAATGCAAGTGTTTCTAGCTTGCACTTAAAAATTTACAAGCTATAGGAAAAATTACAACGAATAAATAAACAAATAAAGTATCACGAGACATAATTACATCGTGAAGCTGAACGCATGATGTACACCTTTCCCTAGAACTTTAAGTACTGACAGAGGTACTAGCTTTTTTCGGGTTCACCGATTCTGAACCGTCCTAGAACTCTGCAGCGCATGCGCAAATGAAATAATGTCTTCATATTTCCTTCTGAGCATACGCATCACAGTTCTAGGATCGGTAATAACAAGAACCCGAACAAAGCTACTGATTCATGGTACTGATTGGGTCGACCGGTCAACTGCGACATATCTGTTATATCCCCTTCCACGTCTCTTTACACCGCTTACACCCTATCTTATAAGTTGTTCAAAATGTTGTCCATTTTCCTGTAAACAATAATAAAGTCTGTTTTCAAACTCCCCCCTAACATTTCTTTTTTAATTTTTTATTTTGTTTTGACACACGATTATGAGTTTTTTTGGAAAAATACATTTAATCTAATGTTTTTCATGACGTTTCCTTGCCACTTAAAAGATTCCCCAACTGTATTTTTAATCATCTCAATTTTTAGCCGACCATACCAATAGGTATGGTAGGCTATTAAGATCGGCAAAAAAAGTTTTTTTAATTTCATTCAAAATGAGTTATTTGGGTCATAAATGACCTAAATACAAAATATTTTCATGGTGTCTGTATGTCTGTCTGTCCGTCTGTCCGTCTGCGTCTGTCTGTAACACGATAACTCAAAAACCGCTAAACCGATGTTAACCAAATTTGGCACAAAAATACTGGGGCATCCGAGAATCTGGCCATTAGTTTTTGGTGGGGGTTGGGGGTTGGTAATGGGGTATCGGGAGGAGGTTAAAAATTTTGAAAAATCGTAACTCCAAAATTACAGTAGCTAGCGAAATGCGGTTTTCAATTTAAGATTAGGAATAATATTTGCAACAAAATTTGTAATAACATCAAAATCAGTCAAAATCGCAGTTTTTGAGATAAAAAAAATTGGAAAAATTCCTTTACTTTGAAACTAAAAGAACTGCCTACCAACTTTTTATTAACATATTTTAGTATGGGCGGCTGTACGTGCCTCCCGGCGCCAATTTTTTCAAATGAAACGATGGCGTCTCATTAGCATTGGAAAAAAAAGTATTTTTTAGCAAATAATTTGGTACCACGTAGGGTATATCGAGTTAAATTTTCGGTATAAACACAGCCATTGTACTCCAGATTGAAGTTTAAAATGATAGTTTTTAAGCAGAAATGTCAAAAGTTGATATATGATATGTCATTCTATTCAGTATGTCATTTTCTATCCACAAAACATCCCCCTTTAGAACTTTTTCTTTAATGGCCATAAGCTGGAGTAAAAGACCAACCGCCCGAACAAACACTAGAGGCGCCACCAGTCATCAAATGGTGTAAAAATTGCGAAAATTTAATCATCTAATTTTGACACAAGGGGTCGCGCTTAACTTTTTCAATTTTAATTCAATATTCATTGTTTTCAAACTATATTATTAGACTTTGTTGTATTTTGTGAAAAAAAAATTATAAATGTTTTCTTAGTATAAAGTTGCATTATAGTAATTTAAATTATGTTACATACATATTTAAGATTAAAATATTATAACACATTTGTCAGTTGCCGTTTAAAATGTCATCTTGATCCTTTCTTGATAAAAAGTTAGTTATTGTCAAAAGTAGTTAAAATCATGTTAAAATATTAAAATTTACAAAGTTATGATGAGATATTTTATATTATTTCAACAACAAGCACATAATAGTACAGCGTAATGTTGATATGCAGGTCCAAAACAAAAAGTGCCGTTATATTTTTCAGTTTTTGTTGTCAGCCGCGGAAGTTTCAGTGATTTTAATGTTGTCGGATATTTTTATTTGTGAAATAGAAATATTGCGTTTGGATTGCAAAACTAAGAGTGGAAGTTTTATTGCAATGTAAGTAAGCGTTTGTCCATTTTATATTTTACTTCTTTCATACCTACAACAAATATACATATATTGAAATTTGATAATTCGTTTTATTTAAAAAATGTTAGAAAACAAGCTTGTAATCCTGTAATTGACATAATTGTTATATAATATGTTCCATTTAAATGTAATATATTACTTTTCAATTAAAAAAAAGTAAATTTGAAAAATATATTAAAAATAAATACAGGCACTAATTGAAATATTTTGAGTGCGAACAAACACGAGAGGCGCTTTATTATTTACTTTCATTTCTTAACATGACAGACGAAGTTCTAAAGGGGGATGTTTTGTGTTTCTATCAAAGGAAGTAAAAAAACACCGGGAGTAGCATTTACAAAGCAAAAGTTGTAGTCATTTCCGGAGAAACAGGAAGTGGTCCAAAAAAAATTGAATATGTCAATCAATTCTGATTTCATATCCTAACATACCCAATCTCGTTTT